AGCAATAATTCACCTTGATAATATAATGGAAAAACAATCTCATCAACATTATTAATAAAAAAATTAAGATATCCAGGAGTAAATTTAACAGAGAGTGTGTAGAACTTATATGAAGAAAATCACACAGATTTACTGGTGAAGCTAAAATAAGGTCCTTATGTTTTACTCCCTTACACAAAAAAAACACTTAATGGATTAAAAGATTAAAGACACAAATATGTAAGAATAATATAAAAGAACAATGGTAAATATTATGTTGACTGTGTGATGAAGAAAGCCTTCTTAAATATTAGGGCACTGAAGGCAGAAAATTTCAATAGAAAATTATAGATTCATGAAAATATAGTTCTATGTAGTAAAAAATACGTTTCAATTAAAAGGCAATGAAGTGGTATAAATATATATAACATGTATTACTGAGAAGGATTAATATTTTTAAAGCATAAAGAGCTCTTAGAAATAAAAAAGGACAGCTAAAATGGCAAAAGTGCCCTAACCGGTTTGGCTCAGTGGATAGAGCGTCAGCCTGCGGACTGAGGGGTTCCAGGTTTGATTCCGGTCAAGGGCACGTGCCTTGGTTGAAGGCACATCCCCGGTGGGGGGTGTGCAGGAGGCAGCTGGTCGATGTTTCTCTCATCGATGTTTCTAGCTCTGTCCCTCTCCCTTCTTCTCTGTAAAAATCAATAAAATATATTAAAAAAATAAAATGGCAAAAGTTCATAAATAGGCAACTCACAATAATAGAAACATGAAGATGAATAAAAACTTTAAAAAATAAACTTTGTTAGTAAAATGTATGAAATTGATAACATTATATCTATCAACTCTGCAAACACTTAAATATCTACACTAATAAAAGAGAAACATGGTAATTAGTGTACAACCGCTACCCTTTTCATTGGCTAATCAGTGAGTATATGCAAATTAACTGTCAGCCAAGATGGTGGCCGGCAGCCAGGCACTGAAGCGAACATGAGGCTTGCTTGCTGCGGACTCCAACGTTCCCCGCCTCACTTGCCGGCCTCTCAGTTGCAACTCTAAGCAACTATGTACTATGTTGCAAATAAGAAGGTAAACAAAACCCCAGAAACCAGCCGGACTGAAACCCAGCCGGACCGAAACTTTGTATCAATGTTTTCAGCAGCGAGGCCTCAGAGCTAAAGCTGGCCCAGAATAAAAAAAAAAAAAAAAGAAGAAAACAAGGAGCGGTTGGGAGCTCCAGTCACTCGCCACCCAGGAAAACAGCCCTCAGCCCCTCACCCAGACTGGTCAGGCACCCCAGTGGGGACCCCCACCCTGATCCAGGACACCCTTCAGGGCAAACCAGCCGGCCCCCACCCATGCACCAGGCCTCTATTCTATATAGTAAAAGGGTAATATGCCTCCCGGCACCGGGATCAGCGTGACAGGGGGCAGCGCCCAAACCCCCTGATTGCCCTGCGGCTCTGTGTGTGACAGGGGGCGGGGCCACAACCTCCCTATCCGCCCTGCTCTGTTTGTGACAGGGAAAGGCGCCCCAACCCCCTGATCAGCCCTGTTCTGTGCCTGATAGGGGGGAGCTCCCCAATCCCCTGATTGCCCTGCGGCTCTGTGTTTGACAGGGTGCAGCGCCCCAACCCCCCTCCCCCCCCGCCCCCACGGGCTCTGCTCTGTGTGTGACATGGTAGAGCCATAACCTCTCCGTCGGCCCTGCCCCGAGTGTGACAGCAGTGGCGTCCCATCCCCCTGATCGGCCCTGCTCTGTGGGTGATAGAGGATGGCGCCCCAACCCCCTTACCCGTCCTGCTCTGTGTGTGACAGGGGGCGGTGCCCCAACTCCCCTATCAGCCCTACTCTGTGAGTGACAGGGGGGAGCTCCTCAACCCCCTGATCGGCCCTGCTCTGTGCGTGACAGGGTACGGAGCCCCAACACCCCTGATGGGCCCTGTTCTGTGCGTGACAGGGGGTGGCGCCGCAACCTCCCCATCGACCCTGCCTTGAGTGTGACAGGGGGCAGTGCCCCAACCCCCCAATCGGCCCTACCCTGAGCGTGACTGAGGGTGGCATCGCAACCTCCCGATCCGCCCTGCTCTGTGCATGATGGGGTGGCGCCCCAACTCCCCATTCGGCCCTGCTCTGAGCCTGACCAGGGGCTGCACCTAGGGATTGGGCCTGCCCTCTGCCACCCGGAAGCAGGCCTAAGTCAGCAGGTCGTTATCTCCCAAGGGGTCCCAGACTGCGAGAGGGCACAGGCCGGGCTGGGGGACCCCCCCCCCCCAGTGCACAAATTTTTGTGCACCGGGCCTCTAGCCTATATAATAAAAGCCTAAGCGACCGTTAAGGTGGAATGACCAGAACAACTGGTCGCTATGATGTGCACTGACCACCAGGAGCCAAACACTCAATGCAGGAGCCCCCTGTTAATCAGTGTGCTCCCACAGAAGCTGGACTCATGGCTGGCGAGCTCAGCAGCGGTGGTGGGACCCTCTCCTGCCTCCACAGCAGTGCTAAGGAGCAGTGAGCAGGCGAGTGGTAAGGGGCAAGGGGTTCTGGACTGTGAGAGGGCGCAGCCCGGGCTGAGGAACCCCCCCCCCACCCCCCCGGCATGAATTTTGTACACCGGGACTCTAGTTGTAAATAATGCTGCAATGAACATACTAGGGGTGCATATATTTTTTCGAAACAGTGTTTGGGGTTTCTTGGGATATATTACCAGAACTGGAATCACTGGGTTATTTTTAAGTTTTCCACAGTGGCAGCACCACTCTCAATTCCCACCAACAATGCATGAGGGTTCCCTTTTCTCTCCATCCTTGCCACTTGTCTGTGGATTTATTGATGATAGCCATTCTGACAGATGTGAGGTGGTATCTCATTGTGGTTTTAATTTGCATTATCTGATGATTAGTGATGCTGAGCATCTTTTCATATGTCTGTTGACTATTTATATATCCTCTTTGGAGAAATATCTATTAAGGTCCTTTGCCCATTTTTTAATTGGATTGATTTTATTTTATTCTTTGGTGTTGAGTTTTATAAGTTCTTTATAAATCTTAAATATTAATCCTTTACCAGATGTATTAATGAATATGTTCTCCCATTTCAATGGATTATCGTTTCCTTTTGTTGGTTTCATTTGCTGTGCAAAAACATTTTAGTTTTATGTAGTCTCATTTGTTCCTTTTTAATTTTGTTTCCCTTGCCTGAGAAGACATATCAGAAAAGATATTGCTATGAGAAATGCCCGAGATTTTACTGCCTATGTTTCCTTCTAGAATTTTTATGATTTCAAGTCTAACATTTAAGTCTTTAATCCATTCTGAGTTTATTCTTGTGTCTGGTGTAAGAAGGGGTCTAGTTTCATTTTTCTACAGGTATCTAATTTTCCCAACACCATTTATTGAATAAACTATCTTTACCCCACTGTATGTTCTTGCCTCTACTGCTGAATATTAATTGACATAAAAGCATGGATTTATTTCTAGGCTCTCTATTCTGTTCCACTGATCTATATGTCTGTTTTTATGCCAGTACCATGCTGTTTTGATTATTATGGCCTTGTAGTATAGTTTGGTATCAGGTAGAGTGATTCCTTCAACTTTGTTTTTTCTCAAGATTTCTGTGCTACTCAGGGTCTTTTGTGGTTCCATATAAATTATTAAATTATTTGTTCTAGTTATATGAAATATGCCATTGGTATCTTGACAGGAATGGTATTGAATCTATAGGGTAATATGAGTATTTTAATTAGGTTAATTCTTCCTACCCATGAACATGGTATATGCTTCCACTTATTTGTATCTTCAGTTTGTTTCTTTAATGTCTTATAATTTACAGGCCTTTTACATTCCTGGTTAAGTTTATTCTAAGGCATGTAATTTTTTGGATGAAACTGGAAATGAAATTGTTTTCTTAGTTTCCATTTCTGATACTTCATTGTTGGTGTGTAAAAATGCAACTGATTTCTGGATATTTATTTTGTATCTTGCTACTTTACTGAATTCACTGATCAGTCCTCATCGTTTCTTCATGAAATCCTTAGGGTTCTCTATATACAGTAACATGTCACCTGCAAATAATGGCAGTTTTACTTCATCCTTTCCAATTTGGATGCCTTATATTTCTTCTTGTCTGACTGCTGTGGCTAGGACTTTCAGTACTATGTTGAATAAGAGTGGTGAAAATAGACATCCCTATATTGTTCCTAATCTTAAGAAAAAGCTTTTAGTTTTTGCTCATTGTATAATGTTGGCTGTGGGCTGTCATATATGGCCTTTATTATGATGTATGTGCCCTCTATTTTTTGTTGAGAGTTTTTTATCATAAATAGGTGCCAGATTTTATCAAATGCTTGTTCTGCATCTATTGATATGATCATGTGATTTTTATCCTTCATTTTGTTTATGTAGTGTATCACATTTATTGATTTGTTGTTATTGTACCTGCCTTGCATCCCTGGAATAAAGCCCACTTGATCATAGTGTATGATCTTTTTAATGAATTGTTGGATCTGGTTTGTTAATATTATGTTGAGGGTTTTGGCATCTATGTTCATCAGGGATATTGGCCTGTAATTTTATTTCTTTGTAGTATCTTTATGTGGTGTTGGAATTAGGATAATGCTGGCCTAATGATCTTGGGAGTCTTCCCTCTACCTGAGTTTTTTGGAATAATTTCAGAAGGATAGGTGTTAGTTCTTCTTTGAATGTTTGGTAAAAGGAATTCTTAATTTTTTCTATAGGAAGAGAACTGATATGGGACCTGCACTAAGTATAAAACATAAATTATTAAATAATAAGAGGATGAAATATATACATTTTAAAAATCACTTCTAGTGATATGAGAATGCCAACACTTTGATATTATGTGTGTAAAGAAAATTAGTCCAGATTTTTTAAAAATACAGAGATAGGTAGATGATAAAAAGCTATAAGGAAATTTCAAAAAGTTATCTATGCAATTACAGTGATTATATTTTCTGTGGAAATATATTTTTTCAAGAATGAAAACAAATACCGTACCATTATCATCTTTTTCTTATGGTGATTCTTTAGAAATGCCTCATATTTTTCCAATTTTCCAGGAGTACCTTTAAAAAAACAAGAATTCACAACATATATATGTGTACTTGTGTGTATGTGTATACACATATAGATCTCCTTTAAAAATGAAAAAGATGTAAGTACTTTAAATAAAATATATATAAAACTATTCAATGGGATCAACTAGCTATTTTGATAAGCATAATGCTAGATATACAAACGCTGTTGAATGAGTAGATTACTATTATTTCTTCTGTTTCCTTTGTTTTACAGAAATGTCCTGCTCCAACTAGTATGTCTTTTGCACTTACTCCTATATCTAAAGTCTTACATCAATCTCTTCTTACTGAACAAGCCCATTTTGTTTAAATAGTTCAGTCACTTGCATTGTAGTTTCATGGTCACCTTAAATTCCAGTAGGAACAGGACTTTGAAACATGGCCCAGTGAAAGACTCTAGGGGCTCTGAAGTCAGTTAACCTGGACTTGAGTCAAGTTTTGATATTTACATATTGAGAATAATTAATATACATACAATTAGTTTTTAAAGTACACATGTGTACTTTCTCTTTCTCTATATATATATTGTCTCTCTATATATGTATACATATATATATTACACACACATATATGGTTCAAGATATTTTATATTAAAAATACAAAATTAAATAAAATTTAAAATAAAACTTAATAATAGTGTATTTAAACACATTCTCAAAATTTGAAAAATAGAGGTCCATAAAACAATATTAAATATCTAAATAATATGACTAATTAAATTTATTTAATACACTGAAAATACTTTCTAAGTATAACTAATATCAGCATTTTTAAGGCTTACCCATGAACAAGTTTGCCCATTAAATGAAAAATAGGACAAGTATCACCATTAGTATCTAAAATCTTTTAGATACTGAAAGTGTTAATTAGATAATAAAAAAGTTACACAAATACTTAAAAGAAATAAAAATTAACATTCCAGCAGATATGCTTTTCACCCAGTCTGTAGCTATTCAGTTCTGAATACTAAACACTACCTTCCTACAAGCTAAACTAGCTCATGTAAATCCACTCTCACCCCTTTTACTTTGGGTTTTAGGTATTTATGTTCTTATAACCTGACTCTTGCTGGCTCGCTTATCTCTGTTACCAGTATCAGTTTATACAATCCATCGTGTTTCCCTGATATTTGGCTACCCCTGTTCCAGCTTAACAAAGTTCACAGCTATTTGAGTTTTTGTCCTAGCAATACTTTCTTTAAATCCACATGTTCATGTTCAACTAAAATTCTGTGCTGGACCATATGGAAAGAAAGAGGTATAAAATAAAATAAATTTATTATTATGTTTTTTAGATATTTTATACCTTAGGATTTCATTATTTATGAGATTGCACACAGAGACAGACAGACAGACATAGATACACATACACACACACAACTGACCATTGCTCTACTCATATAAAAATACAGTTTACCTTTCTTAGAAATTATATTTTCCCACTCAAGAATTTTAGAGGCATGGTTTTTCAAAAGAATTGAACATTCCTCTAATCTTGCCTCCATGATCCTGACTGCACCATGTCTTCGAGGGACATTTTCCCATAGGTGTGTATAAATTGAAGCAAATGAACTATCTTCTTTTATTTTCTTCAGTATGTATGCCCATTTATCTTGATCTCCAAAGATGATTTCCTCTGGCCAATAATCCTGCAAAAAAATGTTATCCAATACAACTTAAATCAATTAGCTAAAACTGAGATTTTATTACACAGCATTATTTTTTATTAAATGTATTCTTTAAAATTCTTGAAACATTCATAAACTTTAGAAGTTTCAAATGCTTCATAAAAACTTTTTGTCCTAAATCATTTGAAAATAAGTTGCTTGTCTATCATCCTTGAATACTTTAGTGTGTATTTCCTAAAAACAAATACATTATTCTATATAAGCAAAATTAATCATCAGACTCAGGAAATTGGTATTGATACAATGTTTCCTAGCTAATACTCAGATTCTATTCAAGTTTCATCAACTGAACCAATAATGCACTTTATAGCAAAAGGATCTAGTGTAGTATTACACATTACATTTTTCTTCAGATGTCTTTAGCTCAGTGGTTCCCAAACTTATTTGGCCTACCGCCCCCTTTCCAGAAAAAATATTACTCAGCCCCTGGAAATTAATTTTTTTAAAATTTTAATAGCAGTTACTCATCGCCCCCAAATGCACCTGTGGCCATCACCGCCCCCCTGGATCGCTGCAGCGCCCACCGGGGGGCGTTAGCGCCCACTTTGGGAATCACTGCTTTAGCTCCTCAGTCTTTCCTGTGTACTTAAAACCATGAACTCATACTGGTATTCCTAATTCCAATTTCAAACATTCTATTTTCTCTCTTTCCATGTTATAATTATCATCTCCAACAATAAAAGACCTAGCTGCCATTATCTTTAACATATGTGTTTATTTTATCTATCTCCTCAGATGATCACTAACCCATCTCTTCTATGTACTGGTAGCTTCTTCTCTATTGGATGCCCTTCTCATCTTGCTCAGGCTCTGACACCTCTTGCCAGGCTGCCCCTTCTATAGGGATGCCTTCCTTACCTCCACTTGGGTTCTGACTTCCCATATCAGGCCATAGCCTATCTCCCACCTCCTGAAATCACCCTTCATCCCTTCCCCTGGCTACGTGTAGATATCATCCTCATTCCCTTGGATTCTGACACATATGGTGTAACACGGACACTCTCCTCACTGTGGTTGACTTCAGACAGCTTGCTCTACATTATCCCAGTGAATCCCTATCTCCCCTGCCAATTTGGATGCCTGCCTTGTTTTGGCCCCCAAATGGCTTTAGGACTAAACTACTCAAGAAGGGAAGGAGATGAAGAAAAGAGAGGAAAATAATAGGAATAGAAGGGGAATCACAATATTAACATTTGCAAACCAAATAAAAGATTATCTTTCAATATAATCAATTGATAACAAAACAAAGAAATTTAGCCAAAATAATTAAGGGTTTGTAAGTAAGAGAATGAGTTCTGGAACTTGTATGATATAAAACTCTTTAATAAATTTTGGTAAAATATTCTGGAAATTTAGCTAAATGGGAATAAATCTGAAATCTCCAGATCAGGAATTTTAAACTTGCCTTGGTCCATTCCACTTCCCGTTTTCTTTCTTTAAAAGCCTATAAAAGCCACTAACACTAAAGGGATTAGTGTTAGGGCCAGGGTAGTGGATGATATGGTGACTAATTAGACCTATCAAAGCCCACTGAACTCTAAAATTTGATGATATACACACTCTGCTACAGTTCTTACTGATGCCCCAAACCTGGAGGCAAGTTGTCCCCCTTTTTCCTATGTTTATTGGACACTAGAATTGATGCCTTCTGTTATGGTCTGAATGTTTGTGTCACCCCAAAATTTGTATGTTGAAATCCTAACCCTAAAAGTGATAATATTAGATGGTGGAGCTTTCGGGAGGTGAGTAGGTCATGAGGGTGAAGCCTTCATGGTCCATATTAGTTCCCTTATAAAAGAAGCTCCAAAGAACTTGCTCATCTCTTCTACCATATGGGTCACAATAAGAAGGCTGTGTGTGTGAACCAGGAAGCCAGTTTTGTACTAGATTCTAAATCTGCTGGTGCCTTGATCTTGTATCCCAGCCTCCAAAACTGTGAGAAATAAGTTTCTGCTCTTTATAAGTAGAAAAATAAAAGCCCACTACAGTCATCATCATATCTTTATGAATGGTGCTCTCTAATGATAACAAGTAGATAAATAATACCCAGCTTTTAATATCGGAAAACTTTCCCAGAGAGATCTAGGTCCTTCTGCCATTTTGGAATAAAAAATATTACTCAGATACATAAGTACACCCTCTAAAATCTTACAAACATGTTTTAAAGAAGACACTCAACCACCTGGTTATTGTGTCAAAATATACAAAGATCTCAGAAGAATAAGATATGGTCATAGGATACAATCCCTGGAGACAAACATGGTCAATTTAGAATGGCAACCACTTTTGAAAATATAGTTCTCTCATATCACTCGAGTCATATAAATGGATGGATGGATGAATGAAAAAATAAATAAAACATCTATTCCCTGAATAAAGAGAATGGAAAAGAAATAATTATTCTCTCTATAGTAAAGCACCTTTGATCTCCTGCGAAAGATCCAGTAGGGATCTAAGTATCCTCCAGGTCTGTATTACAAACCTAGCAGCCCTATTAACAAAATTTGACACTGATGTCCTAAGACAAGTACTACCAGGTAGAAATCACATGAAAGCAGAAAAAAGAATAATGAATAACAGCAGGGAAGGTCAACTCTGATAAGTATATAAGGAAAGAGATAAAACAACTCTTCAGTACCTAAATAACTGAAAAGGAATACAAAGCTGTGATAGTATAGATGCAGGCAGAAGGAGGAGAGTGATGTAAATTTCACAAGGGCAGGAATATTTATCTTTTTTGCTCATTGTTGTATCTTCAGTGTCCAGAACATTACCTGGCAAATAGTAGGTAGTGAATAAAAATCATTAAATGAATGAATAGAATAAATACTAGAAATGATAATGACACAACATTAGGGGAACAAAAGGATACCATAAAAATGTAAAAATATTTTTTAAAAAACAAAATAGAAACAGAATGTTGATGACGGGGGAGAGACAAGAAGAGAATGTGGGAATTGGTCAATAGAGAAATGAGAAGAGAAATGATTGAAGGTAAGAAAGTACACAGAACTATAACAAAGGAGAGGAAAGAGGAGTAGAAGGTATAAAATATTAAAATTATAAAAGAAAGATAGAGATAGTGGAAATTGACCAAAATGAGAGGGCTTTAGATGATGTAAGAACTGATAAAGCATCCTATATAATAAAAGCCTAATACGCAAATTGACCGAAGGGCAGAACAACTGGTAGAACCACTGGTCACTATGACATGCACTGATCCCAGGGGGCAGACGCTTAACGCAGGAGCTGCTCCCAGCCCGCAGGCCCAAGGCTAGCCAAGGCAGGTGCCAATGGGGGCCCTCGATCACCCCGCTGGTCGCCCCACAGATCAGCCCCGATTGCCGGCCAGGCCTAGGGACCCTACCTGTGAACAAATTTCATGCACTGGCCCCTAGTAAAGTATAAGAAACTAAAAGCTGACTTGGAAGTTCCAGGTACTGTACTAAATGCTAATTAGTAGCAGAGCTGGGATTTAAACATAGGCAACCTGGCAATCTGACCCCAGAGCCTCTGATTTTAACCACTACACAACTATGAAAATACATACCTTTGCTTTTATATTTTAGGAAAATTAAACAGAGACAGGCTTAGCCATAAGTGATTTAGAATATATTTTAATTTTGTTTTATTCACTTGTTTATAATATGCCACAATTAAAAAAGAATGACAACTTCATGAAGGCAGGGATCTTTGCCTGTTTTGATTCACTGATATATTCTAAATGTCTATGTGCCTGATACACAATAGGTACTCAAAAATATGTTTTAAATAAATTTGAAGGAATTATTAGTTTTTTACTAATATCTATGAGGTAGAAGTTTTGTCCAGCAAACAAAAAATTAAATACATAGTCATTTTATTCCTAGATGTATTCAAATATCCAATAGTTTGGCAATGCATAGACATAGCCCAACCTTCAAAAAACAACTAAGTATTTGGTAGGGAAATCTAGACAATAAGAAAAAATGTACAGATACACCCATAAAAGACAAAATGGTACAACTGGATATGTTATTTTATCAAATGTTAGCTGATAAAAAAGGAAGGCCATCAATATAGATGTTGTCCTTTGCAAAAAGGATGGTGCTTTAAGTTTGATTTTATTCTATCTTTGGTGAAGGGCATAAACCTGTGATCTTGATTTGATTAGTATTATTCTTAATTTGAACAGAGTGACTAATATTTTCACTTCAAACGTTTAGAAAATTTCATCTGAAATCATAGGTTCACAAACATGCATGATGGTATGGTCCAAATGTCTCCATAAATATTTGCTGAGTTTGGCTTAATTTTAACTGTAACCCCTTTCCCTTGACATTAAAAAAGACCCAGAGCATCGTGATTAAGCTACAGCACATTTCCATCATTATTTAAATTAAAATAGTTGCAAAAAGCTTGTCCTAAAAGTATTTCAAAATTTCTGCTTTGCCACAGTGATTGAAACAAACTTTTGTAAATTAAGAACATTTTCATTTCACTCCTAAAGGGAATTCAATCCTTTTTTTTAAAACATTAAGAAAACAACACTTATTTAAACAAATATAAGAACAGAAAATAGATATTTTTGAAACTCGTTAACAGTTTAGTCACAGCAAATTCTGTTTACATTTAAGCATAAATAAGTGCAAATTAAAGTCTAATCTACTCAAAATATGTACACACCTCATTAAAAAAGCATCTTTGCCTTCCACATTACATCATTTCCCTAGCCTTTGACACTCCTCAACACAAAAATAACCTGACCTTCAGATTCACAACTGCATGAACCCAAGAGAAAACCCATACAATCCCAATAACTCCAGAAATCAATAGTTACACATAATGGAAACTGGAGCTTTCAGCATAAAAACACATTTTAAATATTTTACCCTGATTCAACATCAAAGAACACTGATGTAACACCACTGCAATACCTGTCTCAGCTGTGGTGAATGTAAATGATGTAAATAAGCAAAACTGTCAGATATTCTTCAAGGTGTAAATATATACGACAAAAATCTTACATTAGCAAAATAATATAGAAATGTCTATATAATTCTTCTGATAGGACATTGGACTGGAATTTTTAAAAGTGGAAAAGAGAATAGAATTTTGACAAGAGGGAACAGCTATGAGATAGAGCTTACTGAAAGAAGGTAAATATTTATAAAAATTTCTTACATTAAAATGTATTTTCCATCTTCATTGAAGTGTTATTTACAATAGCCAAGATTTAGAAGCAGCACAAGCGCCCATTAGTAGATGAGTGCATAGATAAGCTGTGGTACATTTACACAATGGAATACTACTCAGCCATAAAAAAGAAGAAAATCTTACCTTCTGCAACAGCATGGATGGACCTGAAGAGTATTATGCTAAATAAAATAAGCCAGTCAGAGGAAGACAAATATCACATGATACCACTTATATGTAAAATCTAATGAACAAACAAAATAGAAACAGACTCATAGATATAGAAAACAGATTGACAGCTATTAGAGAGAAGGGGGTTGGAGGGCTGGGTTAAAAAGGTGAAGGGATTAAACAAACAAACCAAGAAACCTCATACACACAGACAACATTATGGTAATTATCAGAGGGAAAGGAAAATGGGGAGGAGGTAGAAAGAGTAAATGGGCAATAAAGGGTGATGGAAGGAGATTTGACTTTGGGTAGTATACACAGAATACAATGTACAGATGATGTATTATAGAATTGTGCACCTGAAACATATAATTTTATTAACCAATGTCACCCCAATAAATTCAATAAAGAACAAAAAGAAAATGGAACCCATACAAATTTCTATTATTAAAGTTTTTTCCTAGGCTTTTTCCATCTCCAGAACTGATATTTTAAAAGATGTACTGGCACATAAAACGGGATGCTCTACTCACCAACTTGTGGAGCCTTAAGAATTCTTCAATGTTCTTTGGAGGTTCCTAATAAAGAAAAATCAATATTAACATAAATTCAGATTGTTCATAATCTTATACATAATTTATTTAAATAAATAAAAACACTGAACTTATCATAATTTTCAGAGCCATAAGATATTGTAAAATACTTTGTAAAGTCCCTGCACTTTGAAAAGTGACAGAGATCAGTGTTTAAATTCTGTGCCTCCAACCCAAATTCTGATACCCCACTCCTAGAGAAAAGCTCCACATGAATCCTCCTGAATGTACTCATTTCAAATTCCTACAAGAGTTACAGGATATTTTGGGCTCTCTGGGATGTGTCTACAACAAATCCAGAGCCAAAAATGTAATAACATGCTCCTCTGGAAAATGAAGTATTTAAAAAGCCACACTAGTGACATGGTGAAAATACTTTAAATATTTGGATGTTTTAGTGTAATAAATAATAACCCTACTTTTATTAGCAGTTTCTTTGTAAGTTAAAAATGTATCTTTTCATTAGACAAATTAATTTTAATTGAGACTACATATTACTCTTCCTTGCCTTAGAGACTGTGTACACATTCTTCCTGCTGCTTAGAAGGCTCCCTGTCCTGAACCCTCTTCCTCCAACCCATTCTTGGCCTATTTAACTTTTATATCAAATATCAAATTAAAAGTCATTTTTTCTAGGAAGACTAATTTGGCCCCCAATAATATTCTCTATGCCAACCTGTGGGTCGCGACCCCTTTGGTGGTCGAAAGACCCTTTCACAGGGATCGCCTAAGACCATCCTGCATATCAGATATTTACATTACGATTCATAACAGCAACATTACAGTTATGAAGTAGCAACGGAAATAATTTTATGGTTGGGTCACAACATGAGGAACTGTATTTAAAGGGCCAGAAGGTTGAGAACCATGCTATGGTAACAGACAGCAGATTTGTATCTTTACAAGGATAGAAACTACGGTGTAATCACTGCAGAACTATCAAACTTTCATACAGAGGCTGGCCTATGGCCAATGCATAATAAGTACTTTCAGTGTTCATTAATTAATTAATAAATGAGTAGATGAATGCCAGAGAAATATGTAGGTATTTATATATTTTTTTAAATAAGAAAAAAAAAACTAGTGAGAAGACCAAAATAAGAGAAATTCAGAATATCCTATTTAATACCCTAATGGTCTGATGATGATTGTCTGAAAAGATTGCATTACATTTTAATTTACTAAAACCCATATTTCTTATCAATAGGTAAAATGATCAAGATTACAAAATCACAAGGCCATGTTTTGTAAAAATAACTATACATTTGAGGTTGAAGATAATATTTCATTCTCCTAATATTACTTAAAATAGACGATGAACATAAGTAAATATATTAACAGATAATATAGTAATGAAAAAATAAAGGATATGTGTAACAATCACAAAAAAACAAGTGTTCAGATACAAAGATGCATAGAGCTGTCAGGGAAATTTTATGGAAAGCATGAGACTCTAGGCCTAGGCAGATTGAGAAAGGTAGGAAATACAGTGGGGCTTTGACTTACGAGTTTAATTCGTTCAGTGATGGAGCTTGTAACTCAAATTACTCATGTCAAATCAATTTTCACCATTACAATGAATTGAAATGCCATTAATCCGTTCCGGACACCCAAAAAACACTGCAATTGTTTTGTTAAATGTTTTTAAATAAGAAAAATGTATTTAAAAATAATGAATATTGTATAAAAACACAATACTGAACAATAGAATGTAGTGCAATAAACTTGTTTTATTAAGTTTAATGTACAGCATTTACCTTGGAGATCAAACGACTTAAAGATGCTGATGGAGTTGGAGGAGAAAGGCTGAACTGAATAACTGAATAACTGAATCTTATTTGCTGATTTCTGCCCTTTTCGCCACGCTTTCATCACTTTCATCTACAGGAGTTTTCGATAAAAACCTGTCCAATCAGATCTGTTTCATCCTCCCTTTCAGAATATTTCTGAAATGAGTTAGGCAAGTGTCATTAAATAGCTCCATTGCAAGCCCAGTTGCATTTTTTTCTGGGTGCTTCTTTTGAATACAGTCTGAAAGCTTCTCCCACATTCCCAACATTTCCTTTATCTCACTTATAGAGATAACCTCCTCCTCCTCCTCCGTGTCATCTATTTCCTGCAAAACCTCCGTGTGCTGCTGTGTCTGTAGCTCCTTTAGCTCCTGCGTTGTCAGTTCCTCCCGAGTGCTCCTGGATGAACTCGTTCAAACCAGCCCCGACTGGCTTTAAACCGATGCCTCGTCCATTGAAGTGCCTGGGGTCTGCTGCAGCAAATCAGCGTAAATAGCTCATGCCTTCTCGCAGATTATAGCCTTCGTCACGGTATCTCCTGTGAGCTGCTTCTCCGTTAACCACACCATTAGCAACTTCTCCATATTTTCATGGATAGATGTCTGCTGTTTAGAAATTATTTTAATGCCCTTGGCTGGAGTTGTAGCCTGTATCGACTCCTTCTGCTTCAGTATGGTGCAGATCATAGAAGTGCTATGCTCCGTACTGCTTCGCCAAGTCGATTACACGCGCACCTTGGTCATGTTTTTCGATAATTTCTTTCTTTAATTCAATGCACATCATCCGCTTCTTCTTCTCAGCCCTGTCCTTCGCACTTACTTTCTTCAGATCCATGGTTGAAAAAACGAAGTTTTGCAAAATAACTGCAAGCACAAATGCGAGCACAACACTGATGCTTCAACTAAGAGCTAACCCAGGGGTGGGCAAACTTTTTGACTCGAGGGCCACAATGGGTTCTTAAACTGGACCGGAGGGCCGGAACAAAAGCATGGATGGAGTGTTTGTGTGAACTAATATAAATTCAAAGTAAACATCATTACATAAAAGGGTACGGTCTTTTTTTTTTTTTAGTTTTATTCATCTCAAACGGGCCGGATCCGGCCCGCGGGCCATAGTTTGCCCACGGCTGAACCGCTTAAAGTGAACGAGTGAGACACGTGATGCTGGGCTGATGTTGTGGCGTTTACTGTGATGTTCGCTGCGCCAACTAGTGGTGGGGTATCTGAAGCTGGCTCGTAACCCGAATTTTAGCTCGCAACTCAAAGCAAAAAATCGGCCAAGAGATGGCTCGTATCTCGAAAAACTCGTTAGTCGGGACACTCGTAAGTCAAGGCCCGACTGTAAGAGAGAAGTAGCACAATGTGCGTAGAGAAAAAAATGTCCATGATATATGTTCAGGGATAGTTATTATAGCAGTTTGGCTAGAAAAAAGCTATGTGTATATTTTAAAATGCACAGAATATAAAGGAGCCAAATTAAAACCAATTAAATTTTGACTTTTTTCTTGTAATGTCTGTCTAGTACAAATCACTTCTAGTACAAAGCACTATAATAATATCCACATTTCAATGAAAGGGAATTAGAAAATGAATTAAGAAAGTGAAACTTGTGTAGGAAAGTTCCAGTTAATTTCAATATAAAATTCCAAAGTTCTTAGTTAAAAGGAAGTAAGGCTCTTGTTAGGATGTAGGAGAATGCAAAACACCTTATGCTTCCATGGTAACAACAAGAAAAACCTGGACCAAATAAAAAACTTACCTTTCTATGGGGTTAGGGAAGAGTGCAGGATGCCAGTGAGCAGGAACAATTACATAATTAAACCAAGTGTAGGGCTGCCTAATCATGAGGCCCTGTGCAACTGCACAGGTGAAAACCCATAAAGCTGCCTTACCTGGAAGCCTTAATGACCTGAAATTCAGAGAGAGATATGCCCTTTATAAGTGAGCATGATGCTGTTGCAGCTTCCTTACCCAGAAGTAAGCTCTTTGTTGGCTTGCCATGATTCAGTAATTTTGCAGAGACGAAGAGAAGTCAGGCTGGGCCTTAGGCGTCAGTGTGAACTTGGGGAACAAACGGGAGTCTGAAAGACACCAAATGCAAAAAAATTAATAAAATAAAATAAAAAAAATTACCCCACACCTCACTTCCAAATCTTGTTAAAAAAAAAAAAAAAAAAAGCAGCAACCATGGAGGAGGGCTGGGAAGTTAGAGCATTTACATAGGCCAATGCATTCTTATAATACTTGGGTTCCAAGGCCCTGACAGAGTTGACTCCAAAGGTGAACCAAAAATACTTAAAACTTCAGTCCAAACCCGTTCCAATGAAATACTGACAAGATATAAGAGGTGGCTTTGAAGAGAGATGTTGGAGGTGGGTTAATTACAGGTGAACTCAATCTAATGAAAGCTGCAGCCAACATTAAAGCTTAATACAAGTATAGAAAGATTTCAAAGGAACAGCCTCTCACTCTAAATGCCAAGGTAAGAAAAAGGCTTGTGGTCTCTTAGAACTAAATTAAACTTCAGTCTCCACACTTTTTCCACATAATGTCCAATACACAATAAAACAATTAAAAGACATATAAGAAGTAGGAAAATGGGACCCATAATCAAGAGAAAACAGTTAATACAAACCAATTCACTGAGACTGCAATTATTGTAATTAGCAGATAAGGATTTTAAAACAACTATTATAAATATGTTAAAGGTTTTACAATATATATTGGATTATAATATAGTTCATGAAAATAATGGTGTATTTCAAGAGAAACTGAAATTTTAAAAAGAAACTACTGAAAAATTTGGAATATTAATCATAAGAAAACTGGTGTGTCTATATTAATATCAGAAAAAGTAGACTTCAAGATAGGAATACAGTGGGGCCTTGACTTACGAGTGTCCCGACTAACGAGTTTTTTGAGATACCAGCTGTCTCTCGGCCGATTTTTTTTTATTGAGTTGATAGAGTAATTAGAGTTAACAAGCTCCTTAAGGAGCTCCTTAATGAGATCGGTCTCGGAACAAATTAAACTCGTAAGTCAAGGCCCCACTGCATTACCATACCTAATTAAGCTTACTTCATATTGATAAAAGGCCAATTCATTCAGAAGACATATCAGTGCTAACATATCAGTACTAAATGTGTTTGCACCTAATAAAAGAGCTTCAAAATAAATGTAGCAAGAATTGATCAAATGAGAAATATTGTCAAAACCACAATTATATTTGGAGTTCTTAACACATCTCTCTGAGTAATTGATAAATAGATACATACATAAATCAATAAGGAGGTAATTTGAACATTATCAAGCAACTTAACCTAATTGACATTTATAGAACATATAGAACATACAACTGCAGAATACATAATCTTTTAAAGTAGTGGAATAGGAAACATTCATCATGAAGCTATACCAAATTGTTTATGAGAAATATTGACCTGAAATTTTCTCTATTATAATGTCCTTGTTAAGATTTGGAATGAAGATTATTCTGGCCTAAAAAAAATTAAAATAAAAAAGAGTTGGGTAATGTTTTTTTCTATTCTCTGAAAGAATTTGGAAATCTGAAAGATCAATTCTATTTCTCCTTTAAATGTTTGATAGACCTTGCTGGTGATGCTACCTAAATCTGAAGTTAGGGAGGAGTTTTAAATTGAGATACTGTTATAGTATTAACTAGAGGCCTAGTGCACAAAATTTGTGCACAGATAGGGTCCCTAGGCCTAGGCCTCACCAAACTGTGGGGCAACTGGTGGGGTGATAGGGGCCCCTGCTCACACCCATCTTGGCTTGGAGCCGCCCACTCACCCACTTGCCCTGCCCCCTGGTGGTCAGCGCACGTCTAAGTCCAGTTGGTAGTACTCCTGTCCCTGGGGATAATTTGCATATTAGCCTTTTATTATATAGGACAGTGATGGCAGAGGTGACAGGCGAATTCATTTTTTTTTTGGTGTGATTTTTCTTTGTTAAATGGCATTTAAAAATATAAAATAAATATCAAAAATATAAGTCTTTGTTTTACTATGGTTGCAAATATCAAAAAATTTCTCTATGTGACACGGCACCAGAGTTAAGTTAGAGTTTTTCAAAATGCTGACACACCGAGCTCAAAAGGTTCGCCATCACTGATATAGGAGGATTGTGTTCCTCCCCAACCCAATTCCCATGTGGAAACCCTATCCCCCAATGTGAGTATATTTGGCTATGTTGCCTCTGGGGAAGATATCAAGGTTAAATGAGGTCATAAGGGTGGAACCCTAATCCTATAGAGGTGTCCTTATAAGAAGAGGAAAAGATGCCAGAGAGATATTTCTCTCCCTGAATGCACAAAGGCCATGTGAGAACACAGTGAGAAGACAGCCATCTACAAGCCGGGAAGAGAGATCTCACCAGAAACCAACCCTGATGGCACTTTGATCTTGGATTTCTGGCCTCCACTCCACAACTCTGAGAAAATAAATTTCTGTTATTTAAGTTATTTCTATTAATACCCAGTCCATAGTATTCTATTATGGTAGCTAGAGCAGACAAATACAGATAAAATTTCTCAAAATTAATATAGGATCATTCAAGAAGGCTATTTCCACTTATATCAGTTTCAGTAAATTGAGTTTTTCAAGAAAAATAAAAAGAAAGGTCAAATAGTTTGACGTAAGTATTTGTTCTTATTATCCTCTTATTGTTTTTACTATCTGCAGGATGTTTCCTTTTTGATTCCTAATATTTGTACTTTGAGTTTTCTCTTTTTTTTCTTGGTCAGTCCCCCCAAGGACTTATCAATTTTATTAATCTTTTCAAAGAAGGAATTTTGGCCTTGTTGCTTTTCTCCAGTGGACATCTGTTTTTAATTTTATTGATTTCTGCTCTTATCTTCATTAGTGCCTTTATTCTATAGACATTTGAGAATATTCCAATGTAAAATCTGATCCTATTATGAAGCTATTTATTTGACAACCCCTGTTCAGGCACACTGAGCTTTCTATCACCATTTAATTCTCATTCTTCAATATGAATAGAAATCCAAGGACTACTTGATATTTAAGGAATAACTATAAAAATTTTAAAAAGATAAAAACAAAAACATAGAAATCAAAACAAATAACTGAAAATAAAATCTGAGAGGATAAAGATAATAGGAATACACGAAAACCTTTAAAATGTCTTTAGGATTCTTAGAAAGATACAAGGTAATATATCCCTGAAACCAAAATAGCATATTATAAAGCAAAAGAGAATTTTTAAAAAGTACAAATACAATGGTATTAATTAAATATTAAACAAAATGTTTGTGTGTGTGGGGGGGTGGGAGGGTGGAACTGAAGAAATCTTGGAATAGAAGTAAAAAGAATTACAGGACAAAAGATAAGAATTTAGAGGATTATTCCAGCAAAATGATTTCAACCTAGAAATTTAAATATAGGCAGACTATCAAGTGTGTGGCATTTTTCAGATCTGAAAAGTAGTAAAAAAAAAAAAATCACCATCTCTTCCTGTATTAGTTTCATATTGCTGCTATAACGAAGGAGCACAAACTTAGTCACTTAAAACAGCACAGGTTTATTATCTCACAGTTCTGGAAATCGGAGGTCTGAAATGGGTCTGCAGGGCTATGCTCCTTCTGGAGGCAGTAAGGGAGAATCTGTTTCCTTGCCTTTTCTAGTTTCTAGGAGTCACCTGCATTTCTTTACTCCTTAGCTCCTTCTTCCAACCTCAAAGCCAGCAATGCAGCATCTTCTCCTCTCTCTGTCCTCTGGTCTTCCTCTTATAAGGACACTTGTGATTATGCTTGGCCCACCCAGATATTCAGGGTAACTTCCCCATCTCAGGATCCTTAATTTAATTGCATATGCAAGGTTCCTTTTGCCATAAGGATCTGGAGATTAGGATGTGGACATCTTTGGGGGTGGTCATTATGCTGTCTACCATACTCCCATTCATCTTTTCTCAGGAAGGTACTGGAAGATATGTTTCATAAAAACAAAGGACTAAACAAAGAAAAAGTAAACAAGGGATCCAACACAGGAGAGCAGTATTGGATCGTAAAAGCAACTAATACTGAATGAACTAGAGTTAGGACTATCTTGAGGATAAAAAATTAATCTTCTAGATTAACTGATGTGTTTGATTGTGACGTTTTAGCACTTTGGTAGAGTATTTGAGGGCAGATTACAAACGAGCGAGTATAAATATGGCATTTATTAAGATAAAGGAAAGTACCAGGTTGCATGGAAAGTTAACGTGGTGAGGGGTTGACTGATATTTACAAATGTTGATTTGAACAAAAACTGTGATATTACTATACTGAGAGATGAGGGGATAAAAAGAGTGGGGGAGGGGGGAGATGAAAAGAAATGTTCCAACACTTAGGGATGGTGTGATAAAAGAGCTTTGTCATTGACTTCCATAGGAGAAAGTCAATGAATAATGTCTGAGATTGAAAAATCAAGAAATTGCAGTATAACCATATTTTGAAATATGGAGTAAATAACAGAATATTTAAAAGACCTGAAAGAATTTTCCTTTTGATAAAATTGAAAATAGAGTGGAGAGGTTGGGAACCAGAGGGTTTGGGTTAAAGGCCTAGAATGTGGCAAACTGTTAATGCTCACCAATATATGTTTCTTTACATTTCTCAGGCTCCCTTGCAGTTATAGTAGCGGACTTGGGATTAAATTCTGGCCAATGAAATCTGGGAAAAGTGATATATGCCTTTTTAGGGCTGATCTCTAAAACTTTTTGTGTGATTCACCAAGCTTTCTTTCTTGTCAGATAAGCTGTGGGCTCCAAGTCCTAGGGGAGAGCAGAACCACTAAAAAAAGAAAAAGAAACCTGTATCCTTAAGTCTAACATTTCATTTGACTAAAAACACCCATAATCAATTTCTTGTGAGACAAAGTTTATTGTATTAAACCACTGAAATTTGGGGGTTTTCTGTGATAGCAGTAAATTCACTATGTTGGTTTTAAAAAAATATATATGACCACAAATTCTTTGACAATCTTTAGAGAAGCAACTTCTATGTCCCTTCTCCTAAACTCTGGACAGGCCTTGTGATTCCTAACCAAAAGAATGTGAGAGAAGTGACACCATATTACTGTTTGAGGCTAGATCAAAAAAGGACATGTAGTTTCTGCCTTGTCCATTGCAACATTGGACTTTGGAGCACTGGGCCTACACTAGGAAGTCTCATTACATTGCTGCCATGCTATGAGGAAGCCCGGGCCACATGGAGAGACCACACAAAGGAGCTCTGCTAGCATTCATAGTCTTCCCAGCTGAGTTATCAGAAAAAGCTGTCCTTCTGTGCCCTATTGAACACACAATTCATGAACATAATAAAATGGTTGTTTTAAGACACATTTTGGAGTAACTTACTGCAGAGCAATAGTAACTCCAATTAATTAATCATCTCATTTGTTTTGTAATCTGTGCACTTGAACTAAAGCAGTTAAAGGAGAAAAAAGATGTGAATTATTTATTCTTGGCTTGGAGACTTTCGTTATTGCTACTTCTCTTACCTAGAAAGTTCATCTTTCTCCCTAAAGCAGTGGCTTTCAAACTTTTTAAAGAAAAACACAAAATAAGAAATAGACTTTATAAACATGACCTAGTGTATGCATGTGTATTATATAAATTATGTGTGTGTGTGTGTGTGTATACACATATATAATTTGTGGGAAGCCACCGCTTGCCAATACTGTCATGAGCATGCACCAAGGAACGCGGGAGGCTGATGGACCTTGAGCGATAGCAGGGCTGATGCTAGGCACCGACTGTTCATGTTGAGAGAGCAGTGGCCCGAAGCAACCTCCTGACCTGATAGCCTCCAAGTAAATGTTTACTGGACCTTACTGGTCTTTACTGACTTTTGAGACTGTCTGTCTGTATGTGCTTGCCGTGCTTTACTGAGGGCAAGATGTGTATCTAAAACTGAACAAAAAGCGGACTAGGCCAGGACTCGGTGTGTCTCTTCAGGAAAAGAGGTTCCACCTGGCCCCCAATGCCTCCTAAATGCACATTTCTTGAATAGCATTTTCATTTGTGCGTCGGCCCCTCCTTCAGATCCTGAGCCTCGCCCCGAAGGTTGCGGCAATAATTTAAAACTCCATAAAGCAATGCTTAACCTTACCAAGTGCCATGCACCATTATTTCCACATTATATCACTTCATTTTTTAAAGGCGCAGTTTTGGCTAAATAGATTTCCTTGCTTACACATAGGACCTCCACCAATGGGTCCCACACAATCCCCTTGACAAACACTACTCGAGACTGCAGTCATGCTTGAGCCAAAGGCCTTACTCAAGTCCAACCAAGGAGCCTTCATTGGCCAGTCCATTCTGAGCTGTTTTGAAAACCCTACAATTTATTAGTCATATTTTCTGTGCTACCCATGCTTAACTTGATATGGTAAACTCCTCCAGGTCAAGGTTCGGTCCTGTATTTCACTTGCTGAATTCATAGGACACAATATCTAGCCCTTGTATTTCCAACTCTCAGTTGTTACCCACTTTTTAGGCTTGGATTGTCTTTGGATTGGCGGGGGTCGGGGGAAGGGAGCGGGGAATCTATCCATACATGGTGCTTAATTTCAAACTGTAAAAGTGCACAAAAACAGTGCCACCTCTTCAGGCCTGTGTAGTTTTTAAGCAAACCAAATCATCAAACTACAAACACGTGTCTTGACAGAGCCATACACAAGCACCAAGTTCTCAGGATGGGGATCTGGGGGTTGGTAGCACGGACACGCGTTCGGTGGGACCGGCATTTTCAAACTCACTGCAGCTCCACCTTGAGAGACTCTCCCAGAACCGCGCGTCCCCTCCCGCGGCCCGGCCGGGCTGAGAAGGGCACCGGGAGCTGTGAGGCCGCCTCCGGTACCGGACAGGGATGGCCCCGCTCCCGCAGGCCAGGCCGACACGCCGGGACCGACTGGCTGAGGCGGGACTTCCCGCCCGAGCCCTCCGCGCCGTCTCCCCCGCCGCTACCTCCTCCGCCGGGGCCGCCGCGCCGGGCCTAGCAACGGCCTTAGCAACGGCCGGCTCCTCCCTCTGGTGTCGCCCGGAAAGCGCTCCGCCGCGTTCGTGCACGCGCAGGGCGGGCGCTCGCCACGGGCTCCCGGGGAGCGGAGGACGCGTGGAGCTGACGAGGACCGCGGGCTGGCAGGTCTGAGTCCCACTCCGGTCTCCCGGGCCGGTGTGCGCGCCCCTCTGGGCTCGGTGCCCCGGCCGGCTCCGTGCGGCCGCGGGGAATGGACGCGCCGTTGGCCGAGCCCTCGCCGAGGTCGTTCCGGGGTCCCTGCGCGGCGCTTGCATTTTTTTTGGTTGTTGTGGGCCCTTTGGGAAAAAGACTTCCAGATTTTTCTCAAAAAAAAAAAAAAAAAAAAAGGAAAAAAAAATCCCTCCCCCCACTCCCTCCAACAATTATTTTCGGTGCTTTCCGCCTCAAAGAAAGTCTGTCCTGGCAAAGTTAGTCTCTAGGGACCCTACTTTATTCTTTGTATTTTTAGTGTTTGGTTTGCGGCAGGAGAAACTCAGCACAGACATAGTGTGCCATGCATTGTAGTATTTAAAATATTAAGATAATGCTTACATAATAAGCAGAGGAGCCTGTTACCTATGTCTGTTATTTGGAGGGAATATAGGACAAGTAAGGAAATATATTATCACTTTGAGATGGCAGGTCCGTGGAGTTGGCGGATAAGGCCGCCACTAAAACCACAACGTTTAAGGGCTGCTTCCGTCTGAAGCCCGTGCACCGTGTAAGGAAGTACCTGCCCCCGGCCCGGGGGTGGTCTGGGAGGGGCCCTGGGTCCTGCGTGAAAAAGGTGATACATTGGAATTTAAAGAGTGGATGTGAGATCTGTATATGTTATGTGACCAGGTTCTTAAAAATATTCCCGCAAAGAAATATTTGAAGGGGGTTTAATAAAAAACTATAACACAGGACAGTCTTCTGTAATGTTTCATTAGGAGGTGAGTCAACTTGGTTGTAGTTATGAGCCTTTCCATGAGTACTGTTTTGCAAAAAGAGGTCTGCCAGGCTGCATTTGGCCCGTAAAATTAGTTTGTCAGGAACTTCAGTAGCAAGATGCATACAGTATGCTTTTTCTTTCTTTCTTTTTTTTTTTTTTTAGAATGGTTTTGGTTTGGTTAAGTATTTGTTGACTGACTCCTGCTGCATTAGACACAGGGATAGGTGAGACGAGTAAAGAGCTCTGCTCTTGAGGGGTGACTATCTGCTAGGACACATAACTTCACTCAAAAGTACTCGAAGTTAAGGTACATTTTTCCATGTTAAATATGTGGAATCAATAAGTGCATAGAGGTAGAGATGTAAGAGATTACCATAGACTATCTAGAATCCTGACTTTGAGACTAAAAGTAGAGGATTACGTGCGAGATAGAATTGATGCGACTTGGTGAGTAATTCGTTTTTTGGGGGGATAGGGTAGAAGGAGGATTTGTTTTCAATCTAAGTTGCAGAATGATGGATGTACCAGCTAGTTCCTTAGGAATAGTCTTTTTTTCCCACCCACTTGTTGTTTTTTTAAATCTTGACTGTTGAAATTTTCCCCATTGATCCCTTCTAGCCTGCACCTGTCCCCCACCCCAGGCCTTCACCACACTATTGTCTGTGACCATGGGTGATGCATCTATGCATAAAAGTTCTTTGGTTAATCTCTTCCCACCGACCCACCCACCCCCGCCTTCCCTCTGAGATTCAACAGTCTGTATCATGCATCTGTTTATCTGGATCTATTTTGTTCATCAGTTTATTGTATTTAGATTCCACATATAAGTGAGATCATGTGATACTTATCTTCTTCTGACTGGCTTATTTCACTTCGCATAATACTCTCCAGGTCCCTCCATGCTGTCTCAAAAGGGTACAAGGTCCTTTTTTATTGCTGCATAGTATTCCATGGTGTAAATGTATCACAGCTTTTTTTTATCCACTCATCTACTAATGGGAATTTCGCTGTTTCCAGATCTTAGCTATTGTAAATTGCACTGTTATGAACATAGGGGTGCATACATTCTTTCTGATTGGTCATTCAGGTTTCTTAGAATATATTCCTAGAAGTGGAATCATTGGGTCAAATGGCAGTTCCATATTTAAGTTTTTGAGGAAACTCCATACTGTCTTCTACAGTGGCTGCACCAGTCTGCATTCCCACCAGCAGTGCATGAGGGTTCCTTTTCTCCACATCCTCTCCAGCACTTGTCATTTGTTGATTTGTTGATGGTAGCCATTCTGACAGATGTGAGATGATACCTCATTGTTATTTAATTTGCATCTCTCTGATGATTAGTAACTTTGAGCATTTTTTCATATCTCTTAGCCTTCTGTATGTCCTCTTTTGAAAAGTGTCTATTTAGGTCCTTTGCCCATTTTTTTTACTTGGATTATTTGTCTTCCTTTTGTTAAACTATGAGTTTCTTATATATTTTGGATATTACCCTTTATCAGATGTATTGTTGCCAAATATGTTCTCCCATATAGTGGGCTCCCTTTTCCTTTTATTGATGGGTTCTTTGCTGTGCAAAAGCCTTTTATTTTGATGTAGTCCCACTTGTTTATTTTATCTTTTGTTTCCCTTGCCCTAGGAACTGTATCAGCAAACATATATAAAGTCTCTTTATGTTTTCCAAATAACTCCCATGCATATATTTGGTGTTAACAAGTATGTTTTGAAGGTTTTGAATCATCACATTTGCAACACATAATTTGTACACATTTGAGGCAGGCTGTTGGCTGGTCATATGGTTTCAGAGACCTTTGGAGGTAGCTGCCCATGACCTACTACTGCTGACCTCTTCTTTGTGGCCACATCAGCCATAAGTGAGAATGTGTAGGTGAGTCAGGGGAGGGAGTCATAAATATGCACCTTTCACTGTCTCACAGGTATTTATATCTGATTTCTGTAGGGGAACAATATTTATATAAGGTTCCACTAATATCTATTTAGTTATATGGATGGAAGCTCAAGTATAGGGGATGTTTCTGAGGCATCTCAGGAGGAGTGCATGTTGAGAGCCCTAGAAAAAATGCACCATTAGTTTTCCATTGAATACCCAGGGAAATGAATTAGTCCAATCCATTTTGTTTGTTTGTTTTAGGAGGAGTCCTGTGATTGAAGTAACTCAAGATTGGTACAGCCTAAAAATGTTTCTCTGCAGTCCTTACAAACCCAAATTTAGACTTTTTTTTTCTTCCCAAATTTAGACTTTTAAGGCTGCCTCCTGTACTTAGAATGAGTTTTTGATCTTAGGATTTCTTTATATGTATCTGTAGATGAATTCTGCTGATCTTCAAATCTCGTGAAATTGTAAGAAAAACATTGTGTCTGTAAAATTCATTTGCTGCAAGTAAGGTGTGAGACTCTCAAGTGATCTTAAAAGGATCTGAGGCCCAAGAAAAGGTGGCAGCTTAATATCCTGCACTGTTCTAGTCATTGAGGGCATATTCACAAAGATATAAGCCATTTTGGAGTAGGTGATTTGGTGTGGGGGTCAGAAGTAGATGATGTTTTCCATTTGTGAGACAAGAAAAAGTGATTGGACTATTATTCTGAAATAGCACTTTTTCTGAAAAATTGAAAATGTAAATCTATACCTGATCTGTACACATCAAAAATGTTTATTGAGGCCTATCCGGGGTCCATCCAGGGGTGGGTGGGGCTGTGGGAGGTTGGCCGGCTGGCTGGGGTGAGGGACCATAGGAGGTTGGCTATGGAAGCACACTGACCATCAGGGGGTAGATCCTGTGTTGAGTGTCTGCCCCCTGGTGGTCAGTGCGCGTCATAGTGGCTGGTTGACTGGTCGTTCCGGTTGTTCGGTTGTAATGGTCACTTAGGCTTTTATATATATACTAGAGGCTCAATGCACAACATTTGTGCAAGGGGCTTAGCCCTTGTAGCCCTGGCTTCGTCTGGAAGGTTGTTCAGCTGTCCAGTCTAATTAGCACAGCCGTGGGCAAACTACGGCCCGTTTGAAATGAATAAAACTAAAAAAAAAAAAGACCGTACCCTTTTATGTAATGATGTTTACTTTGAATTTATATTAGTTCACACAAACACTCCATCCATGCTTTTGTTCCGGCCCTCTGGTCCAGTTTAAGAACCCATTGTGGCCCTCGAGTCAAAAAGTTTGCCCACCCCTGAATTAGCATGTTAATGCTTTTTTTATTATAGGTAGATAAACTCCTGATGAGTAATTAAATTAGTATCACTAAACTTCTTGTTGGTAAATTATCTTGTATATTATGTTCCACTGGACTTTTTGTTCATATTCTATTTGGGAGACCATTTCCTGTTGCAATCAGTATTTTGCCTGTCAGAGTGCCTGGAGCCTCATAGTTAAACCCACAATGCCTTAAGACTTTATAATAGGAGAATCATTTTATAGTTTTAGAATGCATATAAAATCAAAAGGCCCCAGTCTCTTTCTACCCAAAAGATATTGTGCTTACAGAGTATTTGAATACAGTTTTGGCAGCCATCATCCTTCTTTGAAGGAAATATTTAAGTGGAAAAGTCATTTTCCTATTTTACCTCTAGAACTAATAATCTGAATGGTGTAAAAAAAAGCAGTAGGAATTCTTAGAATGAGTGCATATTAATGTTACTCTACAAAACTTTAAATTTATAAGATTGTACTTTCTTTTTCAGGGTATATATTTTATCTTTTGGGATGTTTTACAAATAATTGAAAGTAGATGCAGCTCATATTTTAATAGATGTTTGATATATATGTATATATTTATATATTTTGTTGTTGTTATTGTTAATCCTTACCTGAGGGTATTTTTTCCATTGATTTTTAGAGGGAGTAGGGGTAGGGGAGAGAGAGAAACTTCAATTGTGAGAGAGATGCATTAATTCAGCGGCTCCCAACCTGTGGGTCGCGACCCCTTTGGCGGTCGAACGACCCTTTCACAGGGGTCGCCTAAGACCATCCTGCATATCAGATATTTACATTACGATTCATAACAGTAGCAACATTACAGTTATGAAGTAGCAACGAAAATAAGTTTATGGTTGGGTCACAGCATGAGGAACTGTATTTAAAGGGCCAGAAGGTTGAGAACCACTGCATTAATTGGTTGCCTCCCACACATCAGAGCTGAGACTATAACCTGAAACACAGGCACTTGCCCTTGACTAGTAATTAAACACAGGACCCTTCAGTGGGACACTAGCCACACTGGCCAGGATTTAGTTTTATTTTTTATGTGTGTTTTAATTTAAGTTGGAGAGGAACGTATCTTTTAGAACATAACCAACTAAATTTTGCTGATTATATTGGAACCTTGTATTTTCATTAGCTCTGGTTGAGATAAGATGTGATGTAATATCAATTCAAAGAGCCTATCGGGTTGAATACATTCCTGGCTGATACATTAAGCCATTGCATTCCTAATATAAAACAAAAGTACTGCTTTGGATTGTTGGTACCTAAACTTTATATTTGAAATAAGTTTTCTAAGAGAGCACCTTTCTGTTTTTATGGGAGGGTCGCTCCAAAGGGTAATTTATGGTTCTGAGTTTATTTCATTTTAATTTTGTATTTCCAATAAATTTAATTCAAAAGTATGCTAATTTAGTGATTTAAAAACTTGTTAACTTTTGTTCTAAAAACAGCACACAGTTGTGAATTAAATTGAGTAATTTTATTTGTGGAGACAGTGAGTAAAATGTTTTGTTTTTATTTTGCCCCCCGCCCCCCACTATTTTTTTTTTCCAGTGCACCTATGATAATGTGTTGTAGAAATAGATGTTAAACTTCGGTTTGAATGAAAAATGTCTCTCAGCCCACCTATATTTCTCAAAGAGAGGGAAGAAAATAATTCACGATTTGTGGAAATACAACAACCACAAACTACTTCCACAGCTGCAGAAGATCCTCTTCAAAACTTATGCTTAGCATCTCAAGAAGTTCTTCAAAAAGCTCAGCAAAGTGGAAGATCAAAATGCCTTAAATGTGGTGGTTCAAGAATGTTCTACTGCTACACATGTTATGTCCCAGTTGAAAATGTACCTACGGAGCAGATGCCACTTGTGAAGGTTGGTAAGAAATTTAATTGTTTGAAAGTAGGAACATAGATTTTAAAAAGACATCTCATATTTTCCTGTTCTAATGTAATTAATACACTTGATAAATAGCATCATTAGGAAAATGAATTATATTAATAGAAATGTAATCCTACAGACTGGAAACCTGTTTGTTTTTCTTGTCTCTGGAAAAACAGATCCAGATTGCCAAAACACTAGGGTCTGAGATGGTGTTTTTTTTAATGAAATCAATTATTTTTTAAATTAATGATTATAATTCATTTACAACCTTGGAAAAAATGTGGTATAAACATGAACACTACAAGAGACAAGTTTATAGACTGCCTGAAGGAGCTTCAAAAACTACCTCAGGTCCTTGGACTGCTCTGAGAAAACATATACCAAAGGACTAGGTATACTTCATTTTTGTTTAGGCTTTTGTAGAATGGGCTTAGCTCCATCCTATACATGAATATGGAGCACCTGTCAGTGACTAAAATGAAATGAAACTAAAATTGAAAAGACTAAGACCTACTCATTGGGCTCTGTTATAATTTGTAGTAATTTAAAGCCAGATTTTAAAAATATATGTGAATTGATTACTTAGCTTATATTTTTTGTTGCTTATCAAAACTACTATTATATAAAGTCTAAAAATCTGTAGAGCATCATGTCTATGTAATCAAAGAATTTATTATTACACTAGAGGCCCGGTGCACTGGTGGGTTCCCTCAGCCTGGCCTGCGGGGATTGGGCCAAAACCAGCTCTCTGACATTCCCAAGGGGTCCCGGATTGCAAGAGGGTGGTTCTCGGGTGACACACCCTGGAATCTGGCTCCCTCTTCTCTGGTTCCAGGTGCATCACCCAAGAACTGCAGTTGCCAAGCGTCTGCCCCCTGGTGGTCATTGTACGTCATAGCTACCAGTCGGACGGCCAGTCAAACAGTTGCTTAGGCTTTTATATATATACTAGAGGGCCCGGTGCACAAAAATTTGTGCACTTGGGGCGGGGGGGGGGGGAGTCCCTCAGCCCGGCCTGTGCCCTTTCGCAATCTGGGACCCCTCGGGGGTGACCACTTGCTGGCTTAGGCCTGCTCCCCGGGGGATTGGGCCAGGATGGCAATCAGACATCCCTCTGGCAGCCAGGCAGCCCTCGGGGGATGTCCACTTGCCAGCGGGGAGCAGACCTAAGCTGCAGTCAGACATCCTTAGCGCTGCTGAGGAGGCAGGAGAGGCTCCCACCACCACTATTGTACTGGCAGCCGTCAGCCTGGCTTGTGGCTGAGCAGAGCTCCCCACTGTGAGAGCGCACTGACCACCAGAGGGCAGCTCCTGCATTGAGCGTCTGCCCCCTGGTGGTCAGTGTGTGTCATAGTGACCAGTCATTCCCAGTCCTTCTGCTGTTAGGGTCAGTTTGCATATTACCCTTTTACTATATAGGATAGAGGCCTGGTGCACGGGTGGGGGTCCTGCTTGGGTGCCTGGCCAGCCTGGTTGACGGGCTGATGGCTGTTTGCAGCTGGTCACACCCCCTTCAGGGTGGGGGTCCCCACTGGGGTGCCTGGCCATTCTGGGTGAGGGACTGAGGGCCGTTTTCAGGCTGGCGGGCAACTGAAGCTCCCAACCTCTCCTTTTTTTCTTTTTTCTTTTTAATTCTGGGATTTATTTATCTTCTATGGCTGTCACTGGAGCTGAGAGCCGGCTCCAGCTCTGAGGCCCGGCTCCACCTCTGAGGCTACGGCTGGCTGACAGCAGGTATCTGGGTTTGTTTACCTTCTATAATTGAAACATTGTTGCCATCACTGCGGCTCTAAGCTCTGAGGCCGAAGCTGGCTGAAAGCAGGTATCTGGAGCTTGTTTAGCTTCTATAATTGCAACTTTGTTGCTTAGAATGTAGCTTAGAGCAGGGCGAGGCAGGCGGGGAACGTTGGCTTCCTCCGTTACTGGAGCAAGCAAGCCTCATGCTCGCTTCAGCTGCATGGCTGCCTGCCGCCATCTTGGTTGGCAGTTAATTTGCATATCTCGCTGATTAGCCAATGGGAAGGGTAGCGAAGTTACAGTTAATTACCATGTTTCTCGATTATTAGATAGGACTAGAGGCCCAATGCACGAAATTAGTGCAAGGGTAGGCCCTCACAGCCCCGCTGCCTTGGCCCTCGCAGCCCTGGCTGCCTCGCAGCCCTGCAGTCCTGCCACCCGACCACTGGTCATTCTGGAAGGTTGTTCTGGAAGGTTGTTCTGCCATCCGGTCTAATTAGCATATTAGCTCTTTATTATATAGAGCAAGAAATAGGCCTTCCTTCCCCCGGCTGCTGGCACTGGCTTTCCTCCGGGACCTGGGCTGCTTCCCTCCGGCCACCAGTGGGCACCCAGGATCCGGGCGGATTCCCTTCGGCAGCCGGCAGGCACCCAGAACCTGGGCTTTGCTCTGGCCTCAGCTTCATCCAGAAGGACGTCCAATGTAATTAGCATATTACCCTTTTATTATTATAGACTAGGGGCCCAGTGCACAAATTCGTGCACCTTGAAAGGAACTGTGGGCTGTGAGGCTGCAGTGGGCACAGGATCGGGTCTCAGCCCATTATCTGCGGCCCCACCCGCCACTGCTGCTCCCACGTGCTGATGGTGCTGGCCCTGCTCGCACCCGCTGACGGTGCAGAGCAATTGGGGCCGGCGCCAGCAGAGGGTGCGAACGGGGCCAGCACCGTCAGTGGGAATGAGCAGCAGCTGCTGCCCTAATAGCCCCTCCGGAGCAGGGGGAGGTGGAGAAGCCCCCAGGGGCAATTGGTCCTGCAGCTGCCACTTGCACCCACTGATGGCGCTGAGCGATCAGGACTGGCACTGGGTGCCAGCAGTGGGTGTGAGTGGCAGCTCTGGCACCGGCTGTGGGTGCAAGCAGGGCTGTTGCTGGCAGCGGGTGCAAGAGGTGGCTGCCGGCCCTGATCGCCCCTCAGGAGCAGGGGAAGGTGGAGAAGCCCTGAGGGGTAATCGGGGCCGGCAGCTGCCATTTGCACCTGGTGCCGGCCCCATCACTCAGTGCCAGGTGCTGGTAGTGGGTGTGAGTGCTGGGCGGGACAACGGCATGCGTAACCACCAGAGGCTTGCCCTGATGACATTGACCAGCACCCCACCTTGGTCTGGCACCCCCGCTTACCTGCTCCACCATCCCACTGTGGCCGACAGTTCCCCGCACATCACAGCAACCGGTTCAGTTGTTCGGCTGTTCGGTCTATTTGCATATTAGCCTTTTATTATATAGGATAGGTGTACATTATTATGTCTAACAATGACTGGGGATCTAGGAGTAAATCACATAATGTATAAAATTTGACTCCTCCCTATTAGAATTAGTGAAACTAAATTACACATGAGCTCATTAGAACTGGCTAGTAAGAAAATAAGTTGTAACTACACTTAAAAACATTTAATGTGGTGATCTTAAGTTTCATTAAGTTTGAACTAAGAATACTTTAATACTCATATTCTGTTACTTGAATTTCAGTTTAGCCTATATATTATCTTGTCAAGTACACAATCTTCTCAGGGGTGTAAAATCATACTTACAGGCTATTGGAAAGTTTACTGGCTGAGAATAAGTATGCATGGACTCTAATCAGCTTTATAGTTATTTCAGAAAAACTGAGAACTTGAGGACAATAATTATTTTTAAGTTTCCCATTATCTTATAAGAATTTAGTTACATTTCAAAGTATTATTTTTGAAGTGTACACAGAATTATTCTATCATCTATTTATGTTATAGCCACATAAAGAAAGTATTTCATGAAAAGTTTTAGTATAAAACTTTTTTGTTATGGTCAAAAGGGATTGAAGATCAGAATAATAAAATTCAATGATATATTGACAGGGCTAACATTCTCATAGAAATTTAATAATAGAGGATTATTTCCCACATCAGTGGTCTAATGTACACTACTTAATAGAAGTGACTCATAACACTATAAGTGACTCAAAACACTATGCCAACTGTTTGATCAACACTAAATGGCCTACTTAACTATGCAGTTTTTGAAAGTGCCTATATTTTAAAGGCCATTTATAAAATTGATGCATTAATTATATATATTAATAATGAAAACTAAGTTTTTCTTTCCAATTTCTACTTTATTTTTATTTTTACAAATTATTTAGCATTTGCTTTTAGATAGCCTGCTTGGGAAGGGAAGATAATTACATAATACTAGTAAGTAAATACCTCCCAAGCATTAAATTTTAGTCTGGAAATAAATTCATAAATTCCTGTCCTTTTATGCGGAATATGATTTTTTTTAGTGCCATGAGAAATGCATGAAAAAATTAAATGATGCTCTTGGTATTTTTTTTAATAGGAGAAAATCATAAGGTAAAAGGAAGCTTCATTTTTATTAAAGTCCTTTTTAAAAGGCTTTCTTTGAGAAAGTAATAATCATGTGGGGAAGGCTTAGTTAGGGCTTTGTACTAATGGCATTTTGATAAATTTGGGCAGAAAAGTTTGTGGTAAAAATCTCTCATAGGATACATAGGTGTTAGAGGACATATTGGTGTTCTTTACAT